GAAGCACTGTCTGACGCGTCTGCCTCTGCGACCCGAAAGGAGAAGCGGCGATGGAAGATGAAGATGAAGAGCTTACTGTCACTCACTTTTAAAGCTGAACAGGAACCTGTTTCTCTAATAAAATAAACTTCGCTATTCCTCTGTCGTATAGTGTTATAGTAGAAAGGAACATAGCTGCCAACCGCCCATCACTTTGCTGTTTGCACCTTCCGCTGCAAACGATTAAGTACCATGCGAAACCCTGACGGCAGAAGTTACCAGGGAATCAAATGGGAAACATTAAGTTCTGCGGATACAAGGGCAAAATTTGCAAACAGCATCACACGATGGTTTGAAGAAATTCAAATGACGTCTGACGCATTGATGTGATCTGTAGCAGGCAGCTATAAAGTAGAAAACAAACTATATTTCCTGAATCCGTGATCTCTCAACTGAGTCAAGGGCTCTATCAACTAACTTATGATGATTTTGCTGATCCAAACGATCATCATCGTAAATTCAATAAGCTCTGATGGTATTACAGCGGTAGAACATATACTCTGAAAACTAATCACAGGTTAACAACACGCTCAGCAGTTAATAACAGAGTTCTTGATAAGTATCCAAGTTGCAGACAATAAGCTTCTGTTCATACTTGATCCCCTAAGGTACGAAGCAAATTCCTCAAGGTACAGAGACGAATTAAAAGATTCAACATACTGTTCAACACAAAGAAGTGGGATGGCAAAAGTAGAAGACCAGGCCAACTTATCTCTGTCCGTATTTTCATGCCATAATGTATGGAGCTTACTGATATGCCATTCGTAGCGCGCGTATTAAATCGCAGCACATCTAACAGCTAGCATCATAAATCTTAACGCTCTACTAGCCTCAGATGACGATGATAAAACAACCAATGGCTGCAGTGCGTCCTCACCTCCATTTTGTCAATTACAGTGACAAAACTATTTGGTTAGTAATATCCCCCACAATCTGAGCTTGTCAACGCCTTCTTTAAGATAGCGAATAAGGTAGCTTAATCGCGGTACTGCCAGATTCACAATCCACAGTGATGGGTTCGAATTTCAGTTAGTCACTGGCCTTTGATCTTTATCTTTTGAGGTGATAAAGATCGGTGAATCATCATTACCTAAATGATGCCACAAATGTTCTTCGCCTGGAGGGGCCCAACTACGTTACAAAAAAATATTGAAATTTTCTCAACCGGTAGATGATCCGTGTTACCGAGCCTTGCAATTATGGAAGTATACGCGACGCCGACATCCAAAGAGTAAAAATTCTTTTTCGGTTCATTTAAGACAATTAATTCGGCGTCAGAACGAATGAACAAGAATATCTCTCAAATACGGATCTTCCTCTACCCGTTTATCCAAGTGGCATGCTGGCATTCTGATCGAGTTCTGACTGAGTTGATATGGGGAGAGCATATGGCTACTGTCGTAACTTATTTAACTGCCTGACTACACCTTTCCTCAGTGACAGCAAGGATGAAAAGAAGAAATACAAATCAAAAAAGCAATAATTTATTACGATCACCGTTTATATACGAATAAACGTTACAGGTTACTGGCCAAAATGATTTACAATTTTGTCAGCTATGTTCTTGAGGGCAACTGACGTTTGACCGCAGCCAGGTTCTTGCAGAAAGTTTCTGCCTTCGTCACAGCAGCGAGTCAAAAGGGGATCCAGCGGCAAGCTGCCAAGAAACGGGAGATCCATTTCCCGACACATTTTCTCAACTCCTCCAGACGTCGGAGGAAACAAAATCGAAAACTTGTGACACTTTGGACAGCACAGTGAACTCATGTTCTCCACCACCCCGATAATTGGCACCTTAACCTTGCGGCAGAAGTTTACTTCCTTGCGAACGTCTAGCAAAGCCACTTCCTGCGGAGTGGTGACGATGACCGCCCCGAATGATCCGGCTGCCTTCGATAAGCACTGCACAACTGTGAGATGCTCGTCTGATGTACCGGGAGGAGTATCGACAACCATGAAATCCAGATCACCCCAATCTACATCCTTCAGAAATTGCTTGATCAACGCCGTTTTCTTTTGCCCTCGCCAGATCACCGCGTCGTCTGGACTGCTCAGTAGAAAACCAACCGACATCACTGCCAGGTTGTCATCAACGTAAACCGGCGACCAACCGCTTAGACTCTGATGAACCTGAAAAATGCAAAAATGGGTCATCTGAGCCATTACAAAAATGGAAATAAATGGCATGGCTATAAAATTACCATACAACATTAGAGACATGACCGGCGCTTAAAGAATGATGAAGTCTAGAGCGAATCGACACCCATGGTGTCGGCAGTTGCTAAACGAAGCGTTGGTGGTCAGCATTTCACAGGCGAAGCAAGTCGATTGAATACTACTTAAATTGTGCAACATTACTACCGCCGTTGAACTTCGAAGGCAAGCCATTTTGCAAAGCACTGGTACTTTTCTATTTAAATTTTTGAGTCAATAACAACGACAGATGTCACAATGAAAGATCAACATGAGGGAGCAATCAAACGGTGTCAAACGGATGATAAGAGACTTACCAATGTCACCCCGCATTATCAAATCGGATTAACGTGTCCAAAATATTTTAATTTAGCCTTAATCCTGATATCACCACGCACTGTTTAAATCTTCTCCAAATCTAACCGACTAGCAGTCATTTAAATTTGTAGATGGCATCTTGAAAACACTGAATAATGATACAAGGAGGGCAACAGTTGTCCGGCAGGGGACACGACTCAGACTCATCCAAGAAGCTAACTGTAACATTTTCGGAGCAAAAGAAATGCCCCAAAATGGTCTCAGCATTTTCAGAGGTTACAGACAAGCAATCTTCAAGATTTCAGGGAAAGCATTATATCACAAACAAAAAAAACTGATTGTATCTCAAGGAGAAGGCACATGGCGTAGACAAATGCCCTCCATGTTATCGAACATAAAAAACAGAAAATACACAAAAATATAACTCAATCGAATACCTCAATACATTCTCAGGCAAAACGGCAGCGTGGAGCAATTGTTTCAGTGTTTAAAAGGGGAAGGACAACCGAGTATTCAAGCAATCTTAACGCTACATACTGCGCAAACTATTTCATTAGATTATCATCGTAGAAAAACGATGGTGGGCAGTTAATAAGAGAATTCTTACACATCAGGGACACTTCCGAAATGAGAAATTGTTGCTCATAAAACGTCCGCCATTCACAGAATCACTTAAAAATGTCAACAACTTCAGGTGTCTTGGTTGCTAGTCTCACGTACTCTAAGCAGACAGGAATAACGTAGTCCAAAGAAAATGCAGGAAATTTTAAAATGCCATGGAATACCCATAGAACCTCATTTCCATTTTAGAACTGATGGAGGAACCGTCTTTTATTAAGGTCAAACGTGACATAACCCAACGGCTTCCTGTTAAGTGTTCACAGATATGTTTTCCCCTATGCCATCGAATACTGTTCTCGACTTTCTCCTTTGAAGCATGCTGACACTGGCGAAGACAGGTACGGACGCAAGGCGAAAATATCGCTCTAGATACTCTGCTGACTTCGACAGTCTGACGAAACTGTTCCAGTGAATAGTACAGGAATGGTTATGCTGACTTCTCCTTCAACGCCCAGAAATCAAAAGCAAACAGAAACCTGTGCGGAAAAACGGACATGCAAAAAACAACAAGGATTTAAAACAATAGAAGTGATTGACCAGTTAAGCGCCCATATATCATCACATTTATCAACGACACCAACCAATCTGGGTCAAATATGAGGATTGCACTTGTTTTCAGTACTTTGGATAACCTTCCAGTATTTAGGCTGACAAAGGAAGAAGGACGCTTTCTGAGCTGAAAAAGGTCTTTTTCCATAAACATACACATACGCTTTGCCTCAGTCATGTCAGTGTGCTGCAGGACGTGAATACAGTTGTTCTAACGAAGAACCAAAAAAACGACGGAGGAACAGTATCAACTTTTACGAACAAAGAAAGTTGATGACAAGGCAGAGATATTCACAGTAGATGTAAAGATTAATATATAGAGGTTTGCGGTTGGTTCTAGTCAGCAAACCGGTTAAACAGTCTTCACTCCAACCCGTCATCTTCTCACGCTGAAATGGAACATCAATCAAAGGCTCATTTCAGATGAACGCTGACACTATTTCTTCCTTCCGCAATGCGGCAACCTGAATCTTATAGCAAGCACTGAAAAGTTTAGGACACATCGATCAGAAACATTCTGCTTCCGCGAGAAGCTTGAAACGATTATCACAACAACGGGCCCTGTCGCCAGAGATCAAATAACATAAATGTTGGCTCCATTTTTGTTTTAGCTTTGTTAGGTTTAGATGTCATACAACGATCAGAAAAAATCGATTCAGAATAATTCAATATTTTAGACGCCTTCATAATTTAATAATGATTTAATTCAATGAATATTTTAGACGAATAACATAAATTTTAGCTCCATTTTTGTTTTAGCTTTGTTAGGTTTAGATGTCATACAATGATCAGAAAAAATCGATGCAGAATAATTCAATAAATATTTTAGACGATTTCTCTTATCCACAGATGCCATTCATTATACTGTGTTGTTCTCGATCAAGACTTTTTCTCTACTAATACAATTAATATTTTAAAGCAAAATACTTTTTAAGGTAAGATTGAGGTTCATTAAACCAGTTTTGGCTTATCAGATATACTTCAGAGGTATTATGAGAAACTCAGGGGAGCAATGATTGCAAGCATGAGCAAGACCAGCAAAACCTGCAGCGAACAGAGTTACCTGAGCATCTTCTATCCCAAAGATGGTGGGCTGCGAAGGGCCACAGATATCGATGTCAAGCAGAGCTACATTGAAACGTTCATCGGCGAAGGAAAACGCTCTGGCGATCAGACAGGCTAACGTGCTTTTGCCGACACCTCCTTTGCCTGACAGCACTAGCACGACATGCCTGATCGACTTCAGACGACTGGCAATGGCCGGCAAGTCGACGTCTACTTTCGAAACACCGCTGACGCACAGACGCTGATTTGGGCAGCCCTCACAGGCTGACGCTTTTCCAGCCGAATCGCTTTCGACACCGGGACAATGTGCAGGGGCATCCACGGGTACATCGGTCATTTCGTTAAGCTAGAGACAGAGCGATGAACATCTTGACGACTGATCATGAACAAATACAAGTAAAACATCAGGCTTAGAGGTTCACGGATTTATAGCATGAACAGCCAAAGTAAGCGCAAAATTCCATAATAAACAATTTACTTAAAAATCGCTGCCATTACAGGTTAAACGTACATCATTAAACAACTGTAACACATTTCGCTTCAATTTTTACAATTTTCAGCACATTTCAAGTATAAGCTTAACAATCTCTGAAGCTTTTGTTACAAACTACAATGAGCTAATAAGAAAAAAAATCTGTACATCAAAGAGATCATCTTCGAATCTGACGTAAAAATTATGCATATACGAAGAATAAATTTTTACAGCATATATAATTACATAAGACAAAGGTACCGGTACATCGAAAGCTTCCACTGTTATTACGACAGCCAATCCGCGCAATGGGCAGAAACTGAAAAACATTAATTAATAATAGTCGATAAAATGTGGTCAATCAATAAACGTCAACTCTCCAGAAGAACAAGCTCATTGTCTAAATCTTAGGAAGAGGTTAACGACCAGAAAAAATGACAATAAGCGAAATTCAACTATGAATCAGTGCATCAAACGCCACGATATGCGTTAAAACCAGATATTAG